AAGTGATTTCTCTAACTACGTGGTGCATTGTTTTCCTGTTTTTCTTATTAAAAACGAGAAAAGCTTCTCGTAATTGCATAATATTACTGAAATTCGAACAAAATTAACCCCATATTTTTCAGCAAAGAAATTACTGATTTTCAAGCAACCTTCTGTCAAAAAATATTTGCTGGGAAACCAGCAAAATTTACTTTGCAGAAAGGATCGCTGGTTATACGGCTTGAAATCAATAAAAAAAAAGAATATATTTGCACCTGAGGTCAATAAAATTGCACTTTTTGGCGATTTTCATACAAACTAGCCAACTTTGACATAATCTAACTTACTTCTGTACTACCATAGAGGTAAGACTAGAACGTCCCGAAATAACGTGCTCAACTTTTTGGCTCAGCTCTGGTACTCTCTTCGGTCCCACGCTAGTCGATTCACCCCTCGAAACATAGGAAAATCCACTAACCGTTCATTTTATCTGTCAAACTTTCATAGCGAATCAAAACAAACATTGTGTAGTAGTAGAATTTCGATTAGAATGAGGTACGTTAATCGATTTGCTTGGGACCAATAGGCTAGTCAAGTAGTGAGCCAATTTAAAATCGTTAGTTTCGTATTGATTGTTGGTACTACTGCACACTACGAAAAAGACATGTAAATTTCAGTGCCCTGAGACCGACACATGCAAGCGGCCCTTTTGACATAAGAATCAGTTGAAAAGGATGAGAAAATCTATTCAATCAAACGCACTTTTCGTCGAGTTGCATATGTTTCAGGTTCAGGACACTTAATTTTACATGCCATGTTTGTTTACTTTCCATGATTTACGTCAGAGCTGAATTACGTCTCGTGTAAAAATAGTAATTTCTAAGTGTGTGTACTACTACAAATATCCAGAATTTTACGTGTACTAATACCAAATTTTTGAATGCACCTATCGGAAAACATGCAAAATGATTCACTACATTCAAAATAATAGCACTATATTGACCTCAGGAGTGCGTACGTATGTATATGAAAATAAGGTAGAACCACCCTACAATATGTAAACAATTGATTTAACAATATTTTGAACTAAAAAATATAATTCAGGGTCACTTTTTTTACGGCCAGTTTGAGTGAGTTTGAGTTTCAAATCATGTTATTTCAAACAAAACTCATTCCTCCCTGTCTCTCTGTCTCTCTTTGGAGAACTAACTCTGGGTCTATCACCGAATTAATTAAATCAAAATGTCTTAAGCTTTGTGGTTATCAAAAAAATCACACGCACTACCTGATTACGAAGCTCGAACATCTTGCAGAGTGTTCTTCTCAGTCAGTTGACTACATCACTTCACACACGTCACACGCGGCTACCTCTCGTTCCTGCAGATACTCTCAAAATCTCTCTGGAAAGATGAAACTGGCTATAGTTTCTCTTTTAGCACTGATCCAGCTAGCATCATGTGCCAAAAAATTCACCATTACAAATTTACCTGTCGGTTATTCCCCGCGGTTCAAGTTTGCGTTGAAATCTAATCGCTGATAATCATTTCAGGCCAACTGGCACCGGGCAAACGACTACTGCATATCCAATGGAATGACATTGGCGTCGGTTTCAAACAACAAAGAGTACGAACAGTTAAAGGACTCTGTTCTCCAGGAGCTGGACTGTTCCGCACTCTGTAAAGTGTGGATAGGCGCAAACGATTTGGCCAGCGAAGGTTCGTTCACTTGGTCCTCGACTGGCAGACCGATTGGCTTCACCAGATGGAAAAAGGGTCAACCGGACGATACATACTCGAACGAGGATTGTGTGGAAATTATTCACAATAACAGCGAATGGCTCTGGCTCTGGAATGATAATGAGTGTCATGTAGAAAGGTCGTTCGTTTGTCAGCAGACCGTGCATGATGATATCAAACAATTTTGAACAAATATTGTATTTTTGATTTTTTTTTTTTACTTTTTTTTAAAGTAATTCTAGGATATTTTAGGGCCGAGAAATAAAATAAAAAAAAAATAAATAAAATAAATTTCCTTCGAGTTTGCTTCATACCATGCCATTGTCTATTATTGAATGTGTGAAATACTGGGATCCATATCTTACATGACTAAAGTAACGAATACAACATATTCTTATTCCTCAACTTTCAAGCTTATTGCTTATCGCATGCTCTCAACTTAGTGTTCTAGATGCACTTCCACAGTTATTAATCGAGAGCTTTCTATGCCTACATCATTTTTGCATTAGTATAATTGTGTCGCAAGTAGAATCATACTCTGTGCCCAGGGAAGTCGAGAAATTTTCTAACCCGAACAATTCATCCAGGAATCGAATCCAGCTACCTCCAGAATGATCTTGCTTTGCAGCTGCACCTTCACCGACTGAGCTAAGGGAGGTCCCGCCTTTACTCACTAACATTATTTTCCCCAAGGAGGTGCTACTGACTTATAATGAATATACGTTTTATCCGGCGAACATGAACTCGGCTAATTGTGCATTCATTATGCTATGTTAAATTAGACGAGGTATACGTTATATCCGCCGGTCACACGCTTTTTCATATTTTGCGTATTCACGAGTTGAAAACGTTTTTGAAGTAAGATTTCCTCAAAAAATCATTAAATGCGATTCATGAAGTATTTCCAGAGCATATCAGCAGTTTATACTAAAAAAAATCCTTATAATAAATCTTTTGAATGTGCCTCAATTCAATTGCTGCACTTATCATTTGCATTGAAATTATATTAAATTTGAAATTTTCACTCCACAGTTTTCGAACGGTTTCAAATTGGTTCCTGATTGGCCTCCGAAATTTTAAACTCATTTGATAAGAAACTGACTTGGCACAAACCATTTGAAGTTTATATGGAAGTTACTATGGGAAAACCAAACTTTTTGTTCATTTTCTTCTAGCCTTTTTCCATATTGTACTGTTAACATGTTCTATTGATATTCTTAGGGGCTTTGCAGAAAATTGGTTTTTCAGCCAAACGTTAAATAAAATAGTTATTAATTGTTTAAGAAATTGATAATCTTATGGCAAGATTAAGCAACTGAATTGTGAGCAACACTGTATTCTGCAGTGTGACATAGTAGCCATGATTTTGTCCTCAATTCTACGCGCCATAAACACCAATGTTGCCTGCTGAACAGTTTATTGAGCATAATCATAAGACACCAGTGACTTGAATCATTTATAATTTTTGTTCTCTACATTTGATCGAAAAGTGGTCTTGAACAAAGTTGTGCCTCAACAAGCTATAATTTTCTAAAGTAGATTGAATTGGTAAATTTTGAGATAGATGTGAAACGAAATTATGGTTTTCCCATAGTAATTTCCATATAAACTTCAAATGGTTTGTGTCAACTCAGGTTCTTACTCAAGGAGTTCAAATTTTGGGACGATAATCAGGACACAATTTGGAACCGTTTGAGCACTGTGGAGCAAAAATTTCAAATTTTCACACCCATTAAATATGGCTAAATGCATCTTAGAACTAAATTTACACGCAGAAAAAATATTTTAAGCGCAATAATATGTGACGTAAAATTAATAAAAATTTAATTTTGCTTTGGCTGCAAAAAGAAATCATTATTATTTCAACAATCCAGTATCTTTGTTTCTAAAAACCAATGGATTGCCCAACTAACAATTTTCACAATGTAAACGCTTTACTCATTTCATTTATACAGCCTCAAGCTGTATTCAAACGTTATACGATATGAGAAACCTTTACTCAACCTCTATACAAGCAAATCTGGCGAACTTAGTCAGCTACTTATGGCTGTTGGAACGGTCGGGAGAAGCTCTTATTGCATATCCATTAACGCTTCTATACAGCTGTTATCCTGCTGTTTAGTTGTGTGTGAACTTGAAAGGCGCTTATTCAACCTTTTCCCGGTTATCCAATAATCACTACACAGCTTTCTCTTGAAGCCGGGTTAAATACTGTTTACGCTTTTTTATGAAGGAATTTATTGAGTTTATTTTGCTGTGAATCAAATTAATCGAAATTAGTTACAAATCATCGCCAAATTATTTACCCTGCACCGGAACCTGGAATCGAACTCGAGACGACCTCATTGGCACACCTTGACACTACCAAGCTGTAAGCTGTCAAATTTGGCAGCTGGGTCAACAACAAAATATATTTGTTTTTAAAAGAGATTTCTTGTTGATTCAATCATATTTATTTTATTAAGCCTGAAAATATACGCAGTTGATATAAAAATATGTTTATTGATTCAATGTTTTGTTTTCTTTTAGTACCAAACAGAATTCCAAATGAATTTAAAAAACCTTTCTGAGGCATAAAATCTCTCCGGTTCATGAGTTGATGGGTCGATAGGTAGGGTCCAGGCGTCCAGGTGTAGGAGCTGCCTTCCTGGCGTCGGGAGCATTGGTACTCAGTAAAAAAAATCAAGGAAAAAAATAAAGAAATACTGTTAATATTTAGCAACTGCAGCATACTTACTTCCTTACTTTACCTCAAGTCTCAAGATTTTCGGAAATCTTGCACTTATTTCCCGAAATTCACAATTAAAATCACAACTTACGTGGAACGCGGAAAAGAGCTAAATCAAACGAGAAAAGTTTTGTTATTGTTTACATTTTTATCTGGGTGAAAACGAGGGAATGGTTGCAGACTTCATCAGTGCCAAGTGGTGTTGAGTATTTGGCACTGATGAAGTCTGCAAGTAGTAGACGAAATACGCGTATATGTCAAAGTATAAGCAATTATAACGGAATTTAAAGGAAATAAACCAACACACTCAAAGCTCTTCATAAAGGGATTCCGTTAAGAGGTTCGACAAATTTAAAAAAGATGTGTTAAGTAATTTAATATGAAATTTAAGTAAAAAGCATACTGCTCTAAATGCATTCTTTTTTAACAATCATTCTTCTGATTTAGTATAACCTACATCAAAATAAACCATTGTTTAGTCTTCCAAATGTAAAATAAGCTCAAAATATATTTTTGAAAAGCATATAATATCAATGGTCTTCTGTCTTCTCAAGCAATCATCTTCTGAACTAAAGCAGTCCATCAGCAATCTTTTATGCAATTGCACTGGTTCCAGCTGAGTGGCAGCGACATGCGTTCTATTTTCCCACCCGCACATACCCACACGGATCCGGTTTCACCTTCAACGAGTGCCCGTATGACACATTCCCCGACAGTGCTTGGGCTGAAAAAAATGTGTGATGAATACAATTGTAACAAATGGATCTTCCAACAACACTCGTCTCACCTTTGCACTGGAATTTGTCTCATCATCTGTCTTCCGGGTTCTTCCATCCATGGCAGCAGGAAAACGCTTCCCAAATGGGTCTGCCGAAAAAGTGTCGTTTCCGTAGCTCCTGGGCAAATTGTAATGAATTTAACTCCCGTTTTGACAAGTACCGTGTCGATCTATGAAAAATGAGGACAGTTAGGATATGCACCCGCAATTACCCATGCAACCTAAATTACCCCCAAACTTCTGGTAAAACCAACAATTGCATGCTTGGTAGCAGTATAAACGGAACAATACGGAAACGGTTCCAGTCCGGCTGTCGAAGCGATGTTGATTATGTACCCTCCAAGGCCGGAATTTTCCAGCGACATGACTTCCAGCGCTATCAAGGAACTGTTGATAACTCCAGTCTAGAAGGGATAATCCATCAGTTTTCCTACGGCACTAGAAATTCAAATTTTGTTACCAAATTAACAGCGATCACCTCTTCCGGATTTTGTTCGTTGATAGTTCCCGCTGAGTTTACGAAGATGTCAATGAAATGCAACTTCTTAACGACGGTCGTGCGGAGCATCTTCCCCAGAAGATCCTTTTTCGTTATATCACACTGTTCATAGTAGATCACCCCCTCGACATTGCAACTTTGTAGTTCAGCTCTCTTTTCACCATCCAAATTTGGCACGACATCGAGGATGAATAACTTCTGTCGATAATCGAACAATCTATCACTTCCAAGAATTCATGAATTCTAAATTTGCAAAACGCAATCCCTTACCGATATTCCGTTTCGTAGTAGGTGTTTTCCTATTTGAAATCCAATTCCACCTAATCCACCGAGAACCACAGCAGTTTTATTTTTCAGTGACATGGTGGCACAGTTTGAGAGATCTCCACGTGACCGACTCACTCAGCTATACTTGATGAACTGAATCGAATCTTTGCGTTTGGTATTGTGGAGAATTGAATGTAATTGATACATCTCGGTGCAACATTGATTCAGGAGACCTGGTGTACTGATTGGAAATATCATGATCAGATTTACTTTCGATTTCAACTAAGGTACACCGGGGCAAGTTGGAATGGAGGGTATATCTCTTAATGGAAGTGAATAATCACTGTGGTTATGTTGAATCCTTTCACTAGTTTTGCGCTGCTAACAGCACAGTGAATATTCACTTCCGCTCATAGATTCGCAATCCGTTTCAACTTCCCCGCGCATTTCAATCTGCCCCGGTGTACATTATATCAACTGGGACGGCAATATAATAAATTTATTATATTACGGCAGGGTAAATGTCGGCTTCGGCACCCGTTGACTGTTTTCGTCAACAAAAATGTATTCGGTAGTTCCCTGAATTTTCTCACCAAATCACTTCGCCTGAATGTATTCAAAGAATTCCTTAAACGTTCAGCTTCAATTTGATAAACAAGGTTGCAAATACTCATTTCAGCTAAAACAAGGTTTTTTTTTAAATTATAAAATAATTAGATGCCATAATCATATTTTTAATTGATAGGATACAAGAAGAGGTTGCAAAGAATGTGTTTGACATATTAAACCTGTTTATTTCACATCATGAGATGAACAATAAGCGATTTTTCACAAACTCACTCACTCACTCACTCACTCACTCAGCGATCAGAAAATCGCTGATTGTGACTCATAGAAAGCAAAATTTTCAAGATTTATGTTTTAATCGCATACTTTGTAACCTCTTCTTGTAAGTTACAAGTAAAACATGCCATCATACCATCTTTTGGTTTTATTATTCCGAAAAACATTATTTTAGCTGAAATGAGTATTTGCAACGTTGTTGATAAGGTTGTTATGACATGACTGAGCGAACGCATTTTTACATATTTTTTTTCTTGAAATACGAACACGCACCACAAAATGCTGCTGATTTCGATTTGCCGATAATAGAACAGCAGATTAACAAGCAGATCAAATGGAAAGGTTGCCGAAGAAAAAGAGGCTGCCGACAATAGTTACACTCACTAAAAGTGTTTTTAAACAGTTTTGGACAATTACATCGATTGGAATGGCAGCAGGCTCTGAAGGATGTTTACCCCCTGACGATAATAGGTTAAGGTATTCCCGAAGCCGTCATTTACTCTATCAAATGTTTCAATTGCGTAAACTGAAATAAAATTATCATTCAGTTTGATTTCAGTTTGATGGTGATATCAAAATTTGATTTCGATTTGCTGCCATTTGATGCTAAACGTTCCTCGGGTAGGCTGATTGTGAAAGTGCTGCTCTATGCATTATCCAGACCCAAGTCAGATAATCAATGGGCCACATAACCCAAGTAACCATAGGCACGTTATTTCGCCTTTTTGGCTATAAACGGGCCTCATCAAAACTTGCAAACACTGGTATAGCCGTTGTTCAGCTGTATAAAGCCAAAAAGGCGAAATAACGTGCCTATTAGACTGATGTAAAATTTGAAATTTTCGCTCCACAGTGCTCAAACGGTTTCAAAGTGGATCCTGATTAGCCTCCCAAAATTTCAACTTATTTAGTAAGAAACTGACTTGGCACAAAGCATTTGAAGTTTATATAGAAATTACTATGGTAAACCAAATTTTTGGTTCATATCTATCTCAAAATTCACCAGTGCACTCTGCTTAAGAAAATGATAGCTGCAGTTGATGAAAATTTTCTCAGCTACATCTTTGTTCAAGACCACTTTTCGATTAAATATAAGGAACATAAGTTATTAATGATTCCAGTCACTGATGTCTTATGATTATGCTCAATCAACTGTTCAGCAGGCAACATTGCATTGGTGTTTCTAGGGCGTAGAATAGGTCACAAAAATCATGGCTACTATGTCACACTGCAGAATACAGTGTTGCCCTTAATACAACTGCCTAATCATGCCATAAGATTACCAATTAATAAATATTTAGTTAGACGCTTAGCTTAAAAACGATCTTCTGCAAAGTTGTAGCTGAGAAAATTTCCCATAAGAATAGCGATAGAACTTGTTAACAGTGCAATATGGAAAAAGGCTAGAAGACAGTGAACAAAAAGTTTGGGTATCCCATAGTAATTTCCATATAGAGTTTAAATTTTGGGAGGCTAATTAGGACTCGATTTGGAACCGTTTGAGTACTGTGGAGCGAACATTTCAAATTTTGCCTCAGTCTAGTGCCTATGGTTACTTGGGAAGGAAGAAGTGTTAGTTTGTTTCCTAGAATGAACTATGATGATTGTACACCGTTTGATAAATTCATGTAAATTTCTGTGAGATATAGGGCACATAAAATTAACGCTAGATTTGGCATAAGTTTACACGATATATCGTGTAAATTTAAGCGCAATATCGCTTCAATTAGAAATATTGTATGCAAGCTTGTAAACGATTTCGTTGTTTATGCCAACTAGAGCCCAAAATTAAACGAGGGGAGATTTTAAGCGATAGTTAAAATTCAGATTTTTTTCTGTGTATATAGCAATTGTTTATTCGCGAAATTCACATCACTCGCGTAGGAAATCAATTTGGCAAGGCATTTGAAATCCGCCCGTAAACTTTTTTGTTTTGGCACTGTTTATAGCAAAATAGCATGGAATGCGACACATCTAAATCTCAATTTAATATTGTCAAAAAATCACCCGATAGCAAATCAATCTATGAAAAATCTTTTTTCATATTACGAGATGAACTAGTCTACGGTTAAAAATCTCAAAAATAAAGTTTAAAAAAAAAATTTCATCTCTTGCATCTAAATCCATCTACTCGCATCGCTCTCCACCTTTTCGCTGGAAATCTTCAAAATCTTCATCAATCTTCCTTCTATCTTATAAGTGTGCGCGCATCTCACAACAGCAAAGCAATTTTTTCCTGCATCTTAGATAGAGTCGCTCCCTTTGCAAAACAGTGAACTTTTCCTGAACATTCACTAGCGGACCGTGAGTTCCAGCCCACCTGTGGTTATCCGCCTTGAACCAGACCGTATTTTTACCAAACGGTAATGGGGTGTTTACATCTGTGCGGATTTGCTAGCGCTTGTGTACTAAAGGGTGATACGGTCAAAATTTGGTCAATATCAACTTGACGTATTTCTTTCAATTTTGCATTTAAAAAACCTGAACACCCCTCATTTTGAAGGTGTGTGTGAGTAGAATGTTGCTCCTATTTTGATTTTGGAATTCACTCTTCAGTTGTCAAAATGCCGTCCAAGCAAGAAGAGCAGCGTATCAAAATTTTGCTCGCGCATCGCGAAAATCCGAGCTACTCGCACGCAAAGTTGGCAAAATCGCTAAAAGTTGCCAAATAAACCGTTACAAATGTAATTAAAGTGTTTGGGGAACGTTTGTCGACAGCCAGGAAGTCTGGATCGGGGGGAAATCGAAAACCGGAAGCCGCTGAGACGACAAAGAGAGTTGCCGGTAGTTTCAAGCGAAACCCTAACCTCTCTCTCCGAGATGCCGCAAATAAGCTGGGTGTATCGTCTACAACCGTGCATCGAGCCAAAAAACGAGCCGGACTATCGACTTACAAGAAGGTAGTGACTCCAAATCACGATGATAAACAAAATACGACGGCCAAAGCGCGATCCCGGAGGCTGTACACGACGATGCTGACGAAGTTTGACTGCGTGGTAATGGACGACGAAACCTACGTCAAAGCCGACTACAAGCAGCTTCCGGGACAGGAGTTTTATACGGCAAAAGGAAGGGGAAAGGTAGCAGATGTTTTCAAGCACATGAAACTGTCAAAGTTCGCAAAGAAATATCTGGTTTGGCAAGCCATCTGTACCTGTGGCTTGAAAAGCAGCATTTTCATAGCTTCCGGGACTGTCAACCAAGAAATTTACGTGAAAGAGTGTTTGAATAAACGTCTGCTGCCTTTCCTGAAGAAACACGGTTGTTCCGTACTGTTTTGGCCGGATTTGGCATCTTGCCATTACGGTAAAAAGGCCATGGAGTGGTACGCCGCCAACAACGTACAGGTGGTTCCCAAGGACAAGAACCCTCCCAACACGCCAGAGCTCCGCCCAATTGAGAAATACTGGGCTATTGTCAAGCGGAACCTAAAGAAGACCAAAAAAACTGCTAAGGGCGAGCAGCAGTTCAAGGCAAACTGGCTTTCTGCGGCGAAGAAGGTGGACAAGGTGGCTGTACAAAATCTGATGGCAGGGGTCAAGCGTAAGGCCCGGCAATTCGGATTTGGAAAAGCGGAAGCCTAACTGAATATTTTTCCTGAATTTTATACTGAACTTGAAAAAGAAATTTAATTTGATTTTTTAAATAAACGATTTCACCGATTTACACGCGTTTTCCCTTGACCAAATTTTGACCGTATCACCCTTTAGCCAACAAGCACGAATTTCTGTTGCTCCTGAAATCTCATGATTATAGATGCTGTTGCCCTGTTTACATTATGCTGGCTACTTTTTTGTACAGTGCTAGTACACTGAAACTTCTGGAGAAAGTCAGAAGCCAGAGGGCTTACGGAACAGTAAAAAGAAATTTCAAGGAGAAATTGGGGAAAAAATCCGGAAGCAAGAGATTTCTTGGGGATGCTAACACAACATTCCCTGAAGTTCATTATCGAGCAATTTTCCTGATATTCATAAAACATCCCTGAAGACACCGCAATGTTCCTGAAGTGTTCGGAACTTTCCTGAAATGCTCTTCGGAATATCCCATAATTCTTCGGAACTGCTTGAGAGATCTTGCAATTTCCCTGAAATTAATGGGGCTGTTTTGAAGTTCTCTGATCACCATTGAAGTACTCGGAATTTCCCTTACTATAATGAAACTACTGGAAAATCTCTTATCTCCTTTGAAGGTCTCTGGATTTTGTTGAAGATTTCATGGTATCACAATTTTCTTGAAATTAATTTAACATCAACATTAATGTTC